TCCACATCAGATGCTCACCCAGGACTAAATCCAGTTTAGAGGAATTTTCAGGAAGAATTTATATCTAGAAGTGGTCAGTAGAGGATAGTAGAAGCTAATACTGTGGCTCATAAGGAGAAAACAAGTCAAAATATTCGTCCAAGTGTTTATTCCTTAATCCATCAAGAGTTGGATGAGCAAGTTGCCAATGATGCTGATGCATAGAGTTTGATATGTTTTAGTTATCATTTGACAAGAAACAGCTTTTTGCAGTCACTTTGTTTCATCATCCTAATTTATATATTCACAGTTGATCTGGAGTTCATGAAATTTTATGAAAAATTGTAATAATTCATTTTGAGAAATGAGGTAAAATTTTTGGCAATCTAAAATGTACCCCAATTTTCGAATTGCTCGGAATTCAACCGAATCAATTACATAATATTATATGCATTAAATCAAATAATTTTATATAAAGCACTAAACATAAAGTTTGAATGAAATGGAAGATATATGAATCAAAAGTTATAAATAATCTTTTATTGAACCCTCCCTAATCCCTTCACTATTTTGGACCGGCATCTTAAGCATTTTTATTTGAGGGTTTCGATCGAATGGTTTTGAGATCCTTCAAAATTTCGCCTCCCTTCTCCTGATACTCCTCCCCCCTCTCAATTTTGCTCGCACGCCGGTTCAATCGCTCGACAGTGAAGGATTCTGCGATCCTTCACTGTATCAAAGGGCGATCGACACACAGTGAAGCCGCGAAGCACCCCACTCCTCCCCATCTCCCATTTCCTTCACCTCCCACAGTGATTCCTCATCCCACAGCTTATGCACGATTCTGCACTGTAGCAGAATTGCGATCTGCAGCAGGTTGCACGCACGGCCGAGTGTCGCAGACCTTGGTTCAGAGCTCTAGGGAAAATGTGGTAAGTGTGAAATTGATTTTAGTGTTATTTGAGACTTATTTTCTTTCTCTTGCTACTGATTTTGATATGTCTCATTTTTCATGCATTGTTCGTTTCTAGTAGCCGTCGAATGCTCCATAATGGTGTCGGAAGTGTCATAAATGGCTTGTGAGTTGTTGTAAAGAGATTCCAACACAAATTTAGAAGGCTTAAGAGTGAGTAAGCAAAGTTGAGAGAAGAGAAGAAGATTGGACAGACTTATGTTTTAGCAAATCGATTATATTTTGAGTTCAATCACTTTATGAACTACGATATTCAAAATTCCTAAGTTTAAAATTTCAGGTTGTTTACCTGAGACGGCAAGTTCAAGACAAGCATATAGAAGATCGCCGCAGGATGACTTCGTGATTTTAGGCAAAATAATCACATACTAACTTAAAAACAATAATTTAATTTATGGAAATCACTTGAATCTTAAAGTTTAATATTAAATTTTATAAATTATTAAGATTAACGTAAAAGTCACCGCAACCTCCAACTAGCTAACATAGATTACGATTTTAGCGTAACAATTGATGTGAGTAATTACATTTCTAAATTTCAGTAATTTTCTTCATTTTGGATTGTATGTTTGACTCTATGGATGCTCAAATTTAGTTAAATTCGTCATGGTTAAATTAGAAGAGGTATGCGTGAAAGAAAAGATATACAAGTTATGCATGAAAGATATGTATGAGATGCATAATATGTATGATAAGCATGATATGATAGATGCATATGATAGCACGATGGAAAATGACATGCATGATAAAAGTAAGAGATAAGCATGATATGAGAGTTATGTATAATAAATAATTGCATAGCAGAGTAAATATGCATATTAAAGATGCATAAATATATTTCAGAATAATGTATATTACAAAGAATGAAATAGCTTATATATGAATTCTTGTATGTGCATGTTTAGATGAGGATTTCACCACTTAATATTACAGGCAGTGGACACTAGTGTACCCGCACGCGTAAAATTTTTCCACCACCCTTGATAATTGGATGGTTAGATCACTCACTGATGTGCCGACTAGATAACATCAGTTAAGGGCGAGTAAACTAGAGGTTACCTCCCCAGACAATTGTGATGTTTACATTACTAACACTTGTGCTGACGAGATAATATCGGTAAGAGGCAAGTAAGAATATTTCCACTCTAGACAATTGAGATGGGTAGATTCCTAACCACTGTGTCGACGGGAGCCTACAAAACAATATTGACCAATGGTGTGTGGTTTTGTTGATGGTGATCCACACAAAGACAAAAATATATATAAAGAGTATAAAGTAAAAATAAAGTTAAGATAAATGCATATAAAATATTAGTGTATGTTTATTTAGAAAAAAAATTAATTGTTAATGTACAAAATGATGAAATACCAACATATTATAAGATTTTTTATAGACTCACATGCATATTTAATTATTTTCTTTGGATTATTATAGTTTAGAAATGTGATTACTCTCATTATGTTGTTTTAATATTACTTTTAGGTTTTAAACATTTGAACAAATGAAAAGAGAAGCAAATGTGTGCAGAAGAAGAGAAGAACAAACGAAAATGTACAAATTTCTACATGTTAATTTTAATTGCTTTCGTTAGTGGCTATTTCATGCATTATTTGAATATTAAATTGTTAGTGATAGAACTAGAATAGAAATAAATTGATTTCCACCGTCCAACCATTTGATCCTATGGGGACAGCGACAAGGAGATAGCTGAAGAAGAGGGTGTGAGATTTATCATCTTCCACCGGATAAAGAAGAGGCGCTCGTGATTCGACGGTTCTTAAAGATTGAGGATGCAATAGATTCATAGTGACTTTTTCACAATATATTCTACACCTGTTGCACGGCGAATGGGAACAAATGTAGTCACATCATCGATGGAGGCAACAATAAAAACGTGGTGTCTACACAGATGGTGGAGAAGTTGGGCATCATGAATTTTAAGACACTCCCGACCATATTCTCAAGTGTGGAAGAAAAAAGGAAAACATTGTCAGTATTGACAGGAGGTGCCTAATGAAGTTTTATTTAGAAGCGAACTGTAGTATCAGGTGTGGTGTGGCGTGGTACCCAGGATGTCTGTCACCTATTGTTTAGAAGACCATGGTAATCTGACTGTAAGACTCAGCATGACGAATTTAGAAACACACTCCCTCAACAAAGAGGGGAAGCACATTATGTTCCTTCGCTCGACAAAGCTTGAGATTGCACCTGCCAACAGAGCAATGTCTGCGGAACCAGTTTTGGTGACAAAGAAGGATGATAGGACTAAGTAACCGATTCCAAAAATGGGACAGCCACGAAAGAGAGCATTTCAACACATCTCGATAAATACTTTACCACCAAGGCCCCCACCAATTAAGGAGGCTCAGGCTACCTTCATTTCAGATCAAGTTGAGCCAACCTTAGATTACTTTGGGAGAATTCAACAATATACGCATGACACGTAGACTCAGCTCAACTCTGTAACGGACCCCAAAAGGGTGGATCGATATAGATGTATGCTCACAAGTGAGGAGAAATCCTCAAGTGCTTTAGGGGACGGTGTAATCTTCAGTGGGATCCAGGTGCTTCTTGGACCACAGTAGAAGATCTGTCAATCCCATAAGCTTTAGCAACCACGTTACTGTAAACGGGCAGCCAAAAGCTTCGACAAATGAGGTCGAAGCTCCCCTAACCCCGGGAGACTAACACCTAAGAAGATTGGCCAGTTTAAGGAGGGAGGCAAGGGGGTCGGTCAACCCAAATATTTGTGTAAGGGTTTTGCCCAAGTGCTCCTAGCTATTTATTTTTATAAATATGGTCTTTCCTTTGTTTAGGGTTAGTTTTAGTTCAGATTTCTATCAGGACAGCTATCAGTGTGCCCCTGTTTTCCTTCTTAAGGTTGTACCCAAGGAAGAATTGTGCTCCAGTTGTCTCACTCTGAGGTGGTAATTATCCCTGATTTTTACCTCATTCGCAACCTTCCCTCCGCAGTCGTCATCATCGTAACTGTTGTCGCCACCCCTGAGAACAGCGCATGTGATGTTCCTACAGTCAGTCAGATTTCTACCTTTCAGCTGCTAACCTCGAAACCCACCATCCAGTTGCATCAATACCCTTCCCCCACCTCCTGCTGATATCACAACCCCCTTCCCTCCCTGTTGTTGTTGCCACCCTAGATCTGACTCCGGCTGCTCCCAACACCCATGTCCAACCCTCTAGCTCTAATGGCTACCTATTATCCAACCGCCTCTTGCCTGTTGTCCAACCGCCGTCCACCACCTCTGTCGCCCTGAAATGTCCTTTATTTTTGTGTTGTTATTTTCCTATAGTCAAGAGTCTTTATTTATAAACCCTTTTCAATTTCATAAAAAATATTTGCAATTCTATTGTGGTTTTAATTAAGCCTGGTATCATTTGGCCTTCTACTTTTCTCCAAATATGTAACGACTTGAAGCCAATCAATATTTTTGCTCCAATTTGAAGGGGAGAATTATCATAAAAATATAGCAAATATGAATGTTCTCAATATTCATAGAGGGCTGAATATTATTTGGGCATACACTTACTCATTTTCAATGAAATATAGCAGGATCTCTAGTGAATACAATTCACCAATTTTCTCCTAATATTTTCATCAGAAGCTATTTCAAAAATAACATCAGATGCAAGATTAACGAAGGAAGAAAACAAGTAAAAAATAATATCATTATGCCACTAGAAAAATATCAAGCGTCCACTGTAAAGCATTGAAAAAAAAAGATGAACAATAATTAAATGTTTATTAGTCCAAATAATTTGGTAAATCCAAGTTTAAATGTACAAAAATGAACTATAGTATCTAACTTCGACCAAGCTTTTGGGAAGTATGAATGCAATGCATAATGCATGAAAATGAATATAGTTGCTCCCATATATGAACCACGCTAATACTAATGAAAGGCTAGTTGATCTACACCACCATTACAACATCCAAATCTAAACATGACTGCATTTGCTAGTAAAAATAAATTAGCACAAAAAAAAAAGCTTATGAGGGAGTTCAGAGTATAAAATGGCTGTACATACTTGAAAAGTTCCTCTCACAACCTTCAACGGCCGCACCATCAACGAAGATAGTTCAAGAATAAGTTTTTCATCATAATCATTTAGCATATGTCTAGAGGCCATTACTGACATCGACTGTACTACATCAAGTGAAGCTGCAGAGGTTTTGGCATTGCTTTCATCTGTAAAACTTTCTGCAGTCTTAGTCATATTGTCAAGGATACCATTTTCTATTTGCTCCTCACTTTCATTTCCGTCATCAATAGAAATTGCCTCTGCCACAAGAATGGAAACAGTGGAGGTAATATCAGCAGTAAATGAAGGTTCTCTGCTATTTTCGCTGCATCCAATAGAAGTTCCATCGGATTTTGGCTGTGAGACATGATCTTCATAATTAGCAGCTGCCCCCAAATGTTCAGACCCATGGTAGTCTCTTTTGAAGCACCTCCGCATCCTTGAAGAACCTTCCATAAAGTCTAGTTTCCAGAAGACCTGTAGATGTTGAAATCAACAAAGATAAAAATAATAATAATAATGACTTACAAACAACAAAAGATAAGATGAACTATGAAATATCATTATACGCATAATGTAGATACTACATAAGCTAGAAGAAAAAAATAAGCTTACTCGCTGAGTAGACAAGTTATCAGTAAACGGACCAAAGAGTCTGTCCATTTCAATAAGGGAGTGAATAAATTTCCTCCATGCTCTACCCCCAATGAATGTGCGTAGTTGTTCTAAAGCATGAACTTGGGAACGTCTACTAATCTGCAAGACAGAAGTTTCAGTAAATCAACTCCGAAGCAACAAAAAAACAAAGAAGTATGAAACCAACATTCCTCCATATGCTGCATGTTTCGTATTAGAGCTAAGCTCTCAACCAATAAACTGGTGTAATTATTCTGTAATGTAGAATACTCTTTTCGCAATATTGGCTTCAAGTCAACTGACTGGATGCAATGAGTCCATGCACTTTCCATGGCCTCTGTAGTATTCCACCTCTTAGCACGCTCAAGATCAGATTCATTCCTCCTTTGCGCTGACGTTGCCATTGCTACAGCACTAAGACCTTTAGCAGAACCAATCCTCGCCAAGCGTTCATGGTCTCGTGTAGCAGCCATAGCAGCAGCCCTCGCAGAAGTTGTATCTTTTGGTGCAGGAAAAGATTTATTCTGCAAATCAGGAGCTTTTGGAACACTTAAAAGTGCAGTTAGACTGACAGGTTTTCTCTCAAAAAAAGATGGGTCATGCTTAGGTGCTGAAAATTTGACAGGTCTTCTAGTGTCACCACCAACACCTGCAGCGACCATTGCTAGTGCCATTGCAGCAGGAGGGGACGCAAAAGCAGCAGCCCACCGAGTGGATGTCATGTAGAGAGCGGCCTAGAGCATCAGAAGAAAATTAATCAAGAAGATATCAAAAATTTGTAAGGTAAGTAAAATAAATTTTAGGGTTTTGGAGGTAATGATTGGGAAGCTCTACATTCAAATTCTCATCCAAGCTAAAAATGAAAATTTTGTGGAGCCAAATTTATAGGCAACATGGGATGATGGCCTGTCCAATTCAAATTGATGTTCAGCGTTTGACAACACAATCAATTAAATACTCCATTTTTTAATTTAGAAATTATACTTTCAAATTTTGTTTATTAAATTAATTTTTACGATGTGATTTTCATCAGGACTTATTTACTGCTAATTATTGTGTTATTTAATAGCTCGTCAACCAGGGCCGCCCTCAATATATATAGCAAACACTTGGACTATGCTGAAACTCTGATTGAGGATCCAATTGGGGCAACTTTTTCATAGCTTAGTTCTTTAAAAAATCTGTCACGTTTCCTTTTGGCTAAAATTTTCTTATCTTTTAAGAATTTCTATAGCGGGAAATATTTTTTTACAATAAGATCGAATAGAGTGTGACAATGTAAGAAATAAGATGCTGAACTTTTCAATATAAAAAATATATAATAAAAACAACAGCCTTTAAAAAAGATGTTTTTTTCTCACAACAGCTCTACAACGACTTGCATAGAAGGCTAAAGAATCCCAAATAGACCCTGAATATGGAATAAAATTATGATATATCTGATATCTTCACGTCAAGTTCTTTCTAACACTCCCATATCTATCTCCTCCTCGATTAACTGGATTAAAGACAAGCCATTGATGATCCTCGCCCACAACTTTGATTCCAGCAAGCGTTCTTGTTGTTACTTTCCCACACCTGTTCACATGCTCATCTATTTCCAACCTGGTATTAAAGAGAATCCGTTGACGATCCTCACCCACAACTTTCATTCCAGCAAGCATTATTGTCGTTGCTTGCCCACACGCATTCACATGCTCATCAATTTCCACCCTATCAACTATTACCACATAGCATGCCTCCACCTACTCAATCCCCAACACGCTTCACTTGATAATTGCTTTGACTTGCTACACTGCCATGTTCGCACTTACACTGCATGCCAAATCCTATACTGCCCAACTCTGCATATAAAAACCTAGCCATGCCATTGAGTCATTACTCCTACTAGATTTGCCTGCTCATGAAAACCCCATTTGCATGATCTCCACATCACAGTCCACTCCTAAAAAGTGCCTCGAGCCTAAAACCCTCTCTTCATGTTATTTTAGTACTAACCCCTCCCATGCTTTCTAACAATGCACTTCAGCCCCATTGAGGCCGACATAGTGCTTAATGTTCACTACCTCTTTGCTCAAAACTGTGGCTCCACAAAATTTTCATTTTTAGCTCCACAAGGTATTTATTTGTTATTTCATAATCACCATGGACATTACTAGCCTCACTCCTAACAAAAAATTCATGCCCACGCCTCAAACCTCTTCAAAATAAATAGATGCTCCAACAAAATATATATTTTATTGATTTATTTATTAACATGATTATTAATATGACTTTAAATATTGAAGATCTACTACCATATAAGGATAGTTTTGAACCTTCTAAGATTCTAATAAAAATGTTTTAAACAGAGTTCATGAATCTCGACCGAAAACACCGACTTAAATTTTCCCTAGAGCTAGTGCATTAGTCCCAATTGTTGAGTAGATTATGGCAGACAAGGGGTTCTTCAAACAAACAACATAATTTTAACTGAATTGAGAGGTCATTCACCATAAAATGGCATTTGGGTGAATCTTAATGAATTTAGCCCATCTCACTTGACCTTATAGGCAAGTACTTTTAGTTTAATGCTCCAACTGAGTATACTCACCCCAAAAAAGTTAATGATGGTCATCCAATCAAAACTAATGTTTGAAATTGATGACACAACAAAAACAACAACAATCCTTTATCCCACTAAGTGGAGTCGACTGCATGAATCCTTTTTCTCCATAGTGCCCTATTGAGTGTCATATTTTCATTTAACTCTAATAAATTAAGATCATTTTTTATACATGTTCATGTCTTTTTAGTTCTACCTCTGTCATTCTTAACATAAGTCAAATCTAAAACATCTACACTCCTAATCAAATCATCAGATGGTCGACGTTTAATGAGACAAAACCATCTAAAGACGACTCTCTCTAATCTTGTCTGCCACTAGAGCTACACTAACCCTTCCATGAATATATTTGTTTATCATTTTGTCTCTAAGTATAAAGCCCCTAAACCGCCTAAGCATTCTCATCACGGCAACACTTAACTTAGTTTTATGCTTCTCTTTTATAGATCAACATTCTACGCCATAAAGCATTGCAGGTCTCACCACCATTTAATGGCACAATTAATCAAATATTATATTTCTTGTATTTTGAATTTTCTTAAATTTGTTTTATTAGGAATATTTTATTGCCTTGTTATCATATTAAGATTTATTTACAACCAATTGTAATACTTCTTAATTTATTTGTAAACTTCAGGCCCCCTCATTAGAGATTTTGAGTGCTAGGTTAAGGCATTTATTAAAAAATGAAATTACGAGATTTTTTTTCCTAATAGGCTTAAGTACATATATTTCTCTTCTAGCTCTAGCCCCATCATCTATCTTCTCTATTAACATTTATTAGGGTCATGCATAGAACTAAATACCCTTATTGCGCTCAATCTTAACAGGTTGAAATCTTTTGAACCCATCTTAATCATATGTTAACATATTCATATTTGCACCTGCATTTATTGAAAGGTGGAATTAGTACTTTACGTATCCCTACAAATATAATGAGACACATAAATAACTAATAATATGCAAGAGCTAATTATAGGAAGGCAAATAAGAAAGAATTAAAGAAAAATTATATTCTAGCCCAAAAAAGCAAACTCACATCTATAGGCATTGTATCCGATGCCAACGCATGGTCGTCAACAAAAAGAGGATTTAGACCATCTGGAGAAGTAAATTCATGAATTCCAGCCAAGAGAGGTCGCCATCGTCTTAGGATTGCTATGTATGCTGGAATAATTGCCTCTAAATATTCTTTGCGTAGAATTACTCTGTCCTTGCTAACAGCATGCCATACCTGCAAAATAGAAAAGCAATTAATAAAATCAAAATGGCTACTCGCATGCCTGGCCGATCAAGAAGTTAGTTGAATAAATTTATTAACAAAAGACGTTTTAAAGCAGTATATACTCAACAAACACTGAAATAATATCATGGCACGTACGTCTTTTATGATATCTGCATTAGTTCTAGATTTGGTTCTGCACAGAATTAACTTCAGCAAAATGAGAAAAATACAAATCTCAACCCCTCCGACAATCTATAAATATCTTGTTATCTTTACAACCTTTTTCAATGTCATGCTCTTGCAAAATTTGTCTTAAATAATATTTTACATCAATTCAATAAGTATTTTTTTACCCTTTATACTAGTTTTCTTTAGTCATATACATACTTAGGAGTTGAAAATTCCAGGATAGTACTGAAAAGTTGAGGCCATGCTTAATTCCAAGAAAAAATAGAGGGATAAAATTTAAGTCTAGCCATGTCCCAACACGACCATGAAGAAGAAGAAAAAGACTATTAGCCTTAAAATTACCAGCAGCCACTTAAACGAGGGGTTGTGGCCACATGGCAGAGAGGTTAAGGCAGAAACCAAAGAGCAAACGAGAGATGAAGGAAAAAAAATATTGGAAAATAGGAAAAGTGAATTAAGACAATCTATTAGAATGAAGTTCGGGTCTCCTTAAAAACCATTCCCATTAAACCTTGCAATTTTGCCTATAATTTTATGTATCTTACTATCTTGCAGTTTTATATCTAGAATTTCAAATTAAATAGTGAATAAACCCACTGTTATTAGTAAGACTAAGATGAGAAAAGTATGTCCATCCGGTTGTGTGTACGTGTGTATCGCTATATATATACACGTTTGTGTACACATACATATATATTTGGCATGCTCCATGTCTACCCAAACACCCTTGCAATAGATACCCTCCCACTGTGATTAGACTAAGCTCTTTGTGCTCCAACATCTACACGAAGGAGCACTCACACCACTTCAACTTGCATCAGGTGCAAACATATGGAATTTGTTTTTAAGCTTGTGCTTGCAGTTACTATTGCCTCACTTCAATTCATGGCACTATTGGAACACATGGTTGCTTCACAATTTGTAAATTATTCTTCTTCCTTTCATACCTGACAATATGCTATTTGCTTCTTTTAAATTCAAACTACTCCATGTTGGCCATCTCTTCTTTGTATTTTGATTTGGAGCTATCTTCAAATTAAACATTTACTTTTCAAATTACCTTACAAGCACCTGCTCCTAGGCTCAATTGGTGTTGAATCTTCTCATGTAATTAGAGTCATCGACTTCAAAAATTTTAATCCCGTTGACTCCAGTCCTCATGAGGAGGATCAGATTGACATATTTTGAGCTCAATCTTGTTAACTTTGATCTTAATTAAGAAAAGATCATACTGGATCAATGGGAGCTCAGTCTTGTCAATGTTTAAAGTTGTGCAATTGTATATTGAGACTTTTTCCGTTCATGAGGCGAGGCATAAGCCTTCAAATGCAATAATATATATATATTATCATAAATGATTTCGGTCGAGAGCTCCGCTAGGGACTCCGACGGCGATTTTGGTCGCATTTGATTCTACTGCTCGAAGGAGAGCGGCTCGCAACTCTTTTCGTCAACTCTCGCTCCGTCGGCTGCATTTGTGTCGGCGTTGTGTTTTCGTCATAGATTTTTCGCCTGTGTCGCGCGTCCGCGACTCAGTTTCAACCCTGCTTCTCCGTCTGTGTCCGACAGTTACTTTTTTTTTTGTTTCGACGACGCTGCTTGCGTGCACCCGACAATTCTATGCCCGACACTCAGGTGAACGTCGATAGCTCTCATGCTGCTTCCTTCTTCTTTAGTTGAGTCGGACAAAACCTGTTTTGCCCACGTGGTGGGTAACCCTCAGTGGAGCCCACGGTGGACTTTCCCTCAAGCTATAAAGATTGTCGCGCTGGTACAGATGATTGTCTTTTTGTTAAGAAGGGAAGTAGGAAAGGTGGAAAAGCAGCAATCTTCTTATCTGACTCAGAAATTTCAACCCTGACGACAAGTTCAAGTTTGTTATTATTGAAATATTTCAGTGGGGACACCCACCTATGGAAGTTATCAGAAAGAGAGTTGATGTTGATGATCTTAAACTTGTAGGCAAATAAAAAGTAAGACTCATGGATGAGAGACATGTATTAATTCAACTAACCGTGACTGAAGACTACACCTAGATTTTCTCCAAGAAATATCTTAATATCGCAGATGAAGTTACTCAAGTGGTCTCCTGATTTTGACCCAAATCATGAAACTATCATGAAACTCCCATGAAACTCCCACTGTATCGGTATGGTTTAGTCTACCTGGTCTCAAGCTGCACTTTTTTCATCATCAGGTTCTCTTACATTATTGGGGCAATCTTTGGGGGTCCTATAAAGCTAGATCTACCCACTTCCAATCTAACCAAACATTCTGTGGCCAAAATACTTGTGGAAATGGATATTACTTTACCTGATGTTACTTTACCTGATGTTACTTACCTGATGTTACTGAAATCTGGCTGGGCACAACTCATAATGGATATTGGCAACAAATCATTATGAAACACAAACCTCCATATTGTACCCACTGTAAGATGTTTGGGCATATCCTTGATAAATGTCACAAGCTCCACCCTAATTTGAAATCCAAGGTTCAAGTGAATAAAGAAGGGTCTAACCACACTACTCTAGACATTTTAGTTCCACCTGGGGAGGATACTACCAGACAGGAGGTGACTTTTGCCCCTGTGCACCCCTCCCATGATACTGTTGCTATTGTTACTGAGATTGAGTGATGTTGGCACCTTCAAACCTCATAAAAAATAATACTGAAGGACTATTACCTACAAAAGATAGTGTTCATATTGATAATCAAGAAAACCTCGCAGCTCCCCTTCTTCAGAAAGTATCCGGTGTAGAGACAACTCATACTTCACATATATAAGAACGTATTGTGGGTACTATGATTGGTAATCCTTCTGCTATAGCTCTACCACCTCATCAGACTGATTCTTCGAATGAGGAATGACATGTTTACACTTCCAAGAGAAAGAAGAAAAATGAAGATCTACTTGAGCTCAGAAGTCTTATGGATGATATTTTAGTTACTTCGAGTAATGGTACGCACCTTACCAACATTTTAGCTGGATCCCTTCCAAGATCTAGAGCCAGAGGCAGAACCAGATTGGGATGACCCTCACTTTGTTCAGCGCCCTAGTGGTTTTGGGTTTTTTTATTTTTATTTATATGTACCATTTTTTATTTTTTGTGTTTGTTGTGCCGTGTGGGTTGGGTGCCTATTTTTAGGCCCACCCATACAACCTATCTATATCTTTTCTCTTTCATGAATTAGCCCTTTGGCTTTTTTTTTTAAAATAAACATCATAAATGCGCAGTCATATGTGCAACAACTCAAAATTCAAAACATATTTTTTTTGGGACATTCACATATATACCACTTAATTATTAAATATTTACATAACACCTAAAATTTAATTTTTACATTTATAGCACTAAAATCTTTAATATCACATCTAACATACCACCCAATGACCTAAAAAATTTCCATTATATATCTACATATCTAACACCTGAACTTTATTTTTTTTTGCATTTGCAACACCTAATTCTTAAAATAAATACATACGGATTATAAAAACAGAAGGAAGCATGGAATTCAAACCAAACAAATGATTGTGACAGAAGCAGCGGCGTGACATCGGCGACATGGTTCGATCTGTGAGAAAGACAGAGGCTTGTGAGAAATCAAAGCTTGCAGTTGTGGGTTCGATTGAAACTACAGCAGGTTGTTGTTGTGGTGTTGTCAGCAAGAGAATCAAGTGTTGGAGATGTCGGTGTTGTCATCAGCAGAGTCGTCCAGTGCAATAGGAAGTGTTGCCTGGTGTGTGATATTGAGAGAGAGGCTTGCGAGAGACGTGGCTTGATTTAACAGATATGTGCTTTTAAAACCCTAGACTAAATATGAAGTTGTGCCTTGTCAAATCAAAGGAGAAGTGCATCGTATTTTGTGCCTCTGAATACATGCGGCATACGAAACGAATGCTTCGAGCGATGCATATGATTCGACAAAAAATGCAAGATTGTGTGGAGGTGCACCTCTAATTGTGCAAATTTAAACACTGAGTCTTGTCAACTCGATCTCTACAGGAAAGAGAACCAGACTCGCAAAAATGGAACTCACAACCTTGCCCTACAGGCAAGACAACCCACTTAAGAGTCAATAATTAACAATTTCAATACGATATTTAAAAATAAGTTTTTTTTTTAAGTTGTGTGCATGCACGCTTCTCAATGCAAATTTGAAATTAGCATAAAGACATAATTAACACAAAACAATATTCGACATTCAGAATTAATCATTTCGGATAACGTCACAGCATATGCGGGTGTTTAGTACTAATGGTGTGTGATTCTTAGAATATTTATAAGACCTACTCACATGGACTTTGAGACATTTGATGTTCTTCAAGATGGTGTACTTAACTTGAAATCAATAATCTCGTGCACAAATCTTAAAGCATTTATCATTCTTCAAGTAAGTGTATTGGACCCGATGTTAATAGCCTTAGGAAATGTGAAAACTAGAACATGCAAGATTTCACTTTAGGGGTCTAAAGTTTCTTTCATTTTCATTTATAAAGTGATGCAGACTCGGTGGTGAACGTGCAAGATCTGCCTAAAACATTCGAATGAAACGCCTTCTGTTCACTTGCATATGCATCCTTTATATAAGCCCTATGTCGCAGCAGAGCTGAAGTGACATCTCAAAATCGAAGATGCAACCCTTGTTCTCAAGTAGTTCCCTAGATGTCGAATTGTGCATTATCTGCGACATCACATTCTAGTTGCAAGCAGCTTAAGGAATTGGCATGCCCAAGAGGGTTGTTGCTTCAGTTGTGAGCAGCACTGATCAAAGTCGAATATGCCAGAGTGTTATGTAAAGCTTATTTGAATCAA